TTATCCTATTCTATCCTATCCTATCTTGTCCTCTCCTCTCCTCTGGTGGCCTTCAGATCTACCTGCTTGCAAGCATGAGCAGGTCTCCTAGTCCTGGTTGTATGTGGTTGTTCTGGAAACGCACCACACACAATGGATGTGGTCCAGATGCCTCGGCTTCTGTTTCTGATTGTTAGCCAACACACGTACAAACACAACACCACTAAACAAAAAGAGATGACACTCGGGAGAGTGCTAGAGGTGGGGCCCATGAGGGGTATACAGCTATTCAGGGCACGGGAAACACTCGGGAGTGCATGATGGGTCAGATAAAGGCAGTCCTCGGCTTATATCCAGAATTGAGTCCAACATTTCTGTCGCTAAGCGAGACAGAGGTTAAACGAGCCTCCCTCCCCCTTTGACGACCTTTCTTGCCACTGCCATTAAGTGAATCGCTGCAGTTGTTAAGTTAGGGACACAGTTATTTGATTAATGACCGGTCCTCAGACTTACGACCGTCACAGCATCTACATGATCAGCATTCAGGGGCTTGGCCATCAGCATCCCAGGGTCAAGCCATCGCCCCTCGCGACCTTCCCAGCCAGCCAAGTCAATGGGGGAAGCCAGACCCGCTTAATGGCTGCCTGATTCATTTAACAACTGCAATGATTTACTTAAGGCTTGCAGAAAAAGATCGTCAAAAATCAACGATGACTCCGTTAACAAACACCGTGCTTGGCGATCCTGTTCCCCATTGTGTCCGTTAAGTCGAGGACCACCTGTAGTGAGGTTTGAGCCCACTAAATCGCAACTTTGGCGATTTCCAGAGGCCTGGACTTCAAATCCCAGATTCCACAGCCAGCGGGGCCATTGGTGAGAATTCTGGGAGTTGAAGTCCACAGGCCTGGAAACCACCAAGGTTAGGAAAGCTCTGCCCTCTAGTGGCCAAAAGGAGTTTCTTCTCTCTCTTTTTTTTTTTAATCCGTCAGATTCTCATGCAGGGTTTTTTTCAAAAAAATCCATAATGAGATTTGGTCAAGATGGAGCCAGAGGATTCCAGAGAAAATCTGCTGGATGGAAAAGGAATGAGAAGGAAATTGGTAGCCCCCTTTTCACCCTTTTTATTCTAAGGCATTGACCCTCTTGATCTCATTTCAGCAGATAAATGGAGTGGCAGGGCAGAGTTTCCCAATAGGAAGAGAATATTTGTAGCTCAGGATTCAAGGGGGGGGGTCCTTGGGGGTCTCTGAAATGGGTGGTTTTTCTTGCAGACGTTTCATGAGCCAACTGGGTAACATCATCAGTGCTAGAAGGGAGAGGAAGAAGATTGTGGGATCCTTGGTGCTCTCTGAGCTGGGTGGTTTTTCTTGCAGATGTTTCATGACCCAACGAGGGAACATCATCAGTGCTAGAAGGGAGAGGGGTGTGCAGGGAGGAGGAGGAGGAGGAGGAGGACAATGACGATGACTGTGGGGTCCTTGGTGCTCTCTGAGCTGGGTGGTTTTCTTGCAGACGTTTCATGACCCAACTAGGAAACATCATCAGTGCTAGAAGGGAGTGGAAAGGAGAAGGAGAAGGACAAGAGGAAGGAAGGAAGGAAGGAAGGAAGGAAGGAAGGAAGGAAGGAAGGAAGGAAGGAAGGAGAAGAACTGTGGGGTCCTTGGTGCTCTCTGAGCTGGGTGGTTTTCTTGCAGACGTTTCATGACCCAACTAGATAGCATCATTAGTGCTAGAAGGAAGTGGGATTTGTGGAGAGGAAGAGGAAGAGGAGGGGGAGGGGGAGGGGAAGAAGGAGAAAGAGGAGGAGGAGAAGCACTGTGGGGTCCCTGGTGCTCTCTGACTGGGTTGTTTTCTTGCAGACGTTTCGTGACCCAACTAGGTAACGTCATCAGTGCTAGAAGGAAGGAGGAGGAGGAGGGGGAAGAGGGGGAGGACTGTGGGGTCCTGGGTGCTGCCTGGTTTTCCTGCAGATGCTTCATGATCCACCTCGGTAACATTATCATCCCTTTTAGCGCTGTTGACGTTACCAAGTTTGGTCACGAAACGTCTGCCGGAAAACCACCCAGCTCAGAGAGCACCCAGGACCCCCCAGTGCTTCTCAACCTTGGCAGCTGGAAGAAGGGTGGGCTTCCCTTCCCAGAATCCCCCCTCTCCCCCCGGTGAAGAGGTGGGAAAGAGCTTTGTAGCCCTCCACAACTGTGCTCAGAACGTTGTGAACCGGTCCAGGAAGAAGGACATCAACACGTCACGACAGCTCAGGAGCCTGCAAGTTCCCGAAGCCGTGCTTTTTATTTTATTTTAAGGGCATGCAAGGCGGTTCTTATACACAGTATGTGTGCACACACACACACACACAAAACACACACACAGCCTTTCTGTGCCTGTTTGTCAGGAGGCCAGAGCGTCAGTTGACCACCAGTGTGATCCAGTGAACGAAATTCAGCCAGGAATACTAGGTGGAGATCTACACAGGAGCAGTTTTAACAAAAGCTTCCCTTCGTTGCGAAGTGGTCAGGAAGGGATGGGCTGGGGGGGGAGGACGGTGGAGTGGGGAGGGTCACCGAAGCTCTTCCTCCAGGCCTGGGGAGGCCCTCAGGAGGCGGGTTCCACCCGGAACTCTGTAGGGGAGCAAGTCAGGAAAAGTGAATCAAGAGCAGCGTTCCTGATTTCCAGCCTTGAACACAAATTTCCTAACTACAAACCCGTTGCCTTTTTTTTTGGGGGTGGGTGGGCATTTAGGGGAGGGGCTGCATCTGGAAGGTGAGGGGGCCGACCACCCAATAAAGAGCTTTACCGAGGCTTGTTTCCATAGCCCCCCCCTGCAATGAAACCGGATTAATTAAAAAACGGTTATATTCCAGATGCGTTGAATTTCTTTCTCTCTTTTGTCCCGCGAGAAAAAGAGACCACGCAGCGGTT